AGTTGTACACTTCATTATTGTTATTGATCTTGCATCTTGCTCTTTCCCTGTATCTCTCAGTGAAGATTCTCAAATATGTGCCAAGCCTTTCTATCCTCTGACATCTCAGGCATCTCATCATATGCAATCATCTTGCTGACCCCTGACTCCATTTCTCATCTCCGTGTGTACAGATTTTAAAAATTTCTTTATACGTTGGCTTTCTTGGTTCTAGTTCAAGGCTATTCATATTAAACTGTTATTATTTAGTCTCAGAATGTGTCGTTTTCCACTGACATAATCTTTTTCCTACCTCTTGATTCACGGGAATGTTTAGTTTCCCCCAAAAGCTCTGATGGCTGATTCTGTCATGCCATTTAATTCCTTCTATTCTATGCACAGTATGTGATGGCTGGAATGCTCTCTAGTAGAAGAAGCAGCAGCAGACAAAGAGAGATGATATTTGACAACTTGAAACGAGGGCGTGGTGAAACATCGAAGGGAAATTGACTGAAAATACCAAGAACCATGACTAGTGGAGAGAAATGAACGCGTACGCTGGTCACATGGGCGTTCACGTGATGATGATTCTATGCAGGCTATCATTTGGCACCGAAAGAATGACTAGTACTTTAACACCAGATTTAACTCCGACATGATTTCCTTTCAGTGATAATTAACAATTTACTTGCCCACGTCTGAGCTTGACTGTAGTAAACAGGTTTTTATTCGAATGACTGCCAGGTTCAGATAATATATCCCCTGGCAATTATTAGGGATTGTATTTGGTATTTAAGTTGTGATACAAGTAACTGTTTCAATCGTTACTTTTGAGTATTGCATATTAATACATACAAAGTACAATATTGTCTCCGGCAAGGCAATGACATCATCTGGAGGAGGCAGGTTCAAATCCCCTTATGCCTATAACTTTTGTGTCTATATAGTATTCCATGTCTTCTATTTTCTACTTCTTTTCTGTCCTTGCTATGAGTGCTAAACAATAGCTGTGAATTTTCTTCTTTTACCTTCACTTATGAGACATTATCATAAGATTTCCTCCATAAAACTTGTGTCCAAATATCTTATCAATGTCCTGATAAACCCCATCTCTTTTTGGACATGTTCATATATAGTTAGAAGGTCATCGCTTTCATATCGCAGGCAGCTGGGAGCCATCACCATTACCAAGTTGTTGACATCCATCTTGGTAAATGCAACATTTTTTGGAGAAGCGAAAACCTACAAAAGAAGAAGATGAAAAACATAAATGTTAATGACAGTTTGTTAGACATATTGCATATCTCCTCCTCCTCTTCTTCTCCTCTTCCTCCTTCTTCCCCTTCTTCTTCTGAGAGAGAGAGAGAGAGAGAGAGAGATGCGCATCTAGATTTGCTTAAAAAATAAAGGCTCTATAGTCATTCAAACACACATTCTACTGCTTGGGGAGAAGGAAGATGCTGTCCACATGAAAAGGGTTTTGGCTGCTTAATACATCCTTTGCTCGCTGCTGTCATTAAACGGTAGGAAGATACAACCAGCCTTCAATATCGGTCTGTCGCTATTTAACATCTTTTTGTTCAGCAGTATTAAACAAAAACAGTAAAGGTCCTTTTTCCTGGCTTTTAGGCGTAAAGGGCTACACCTACATTTGTATAGGCCAACGGCACAATATGGGTAATGTGATCAGCATCACGCCGGCCGCCTTTACTTCCCAGGACGGCACCCTGCACCCACTTAAGGTTAGGTCGACCTGAGAGTCAAGGTCATTTTTAAAAAAAAAAGTCCGGTTACCACAGGAAGAAAACCTACGACCTTCCGATCCGCACGTGAACATCTAGCCGCTGCGCCACGACGACTCACTTATATGTTATGACCCTTTAAAACCTCCTTTCGGTGGACTATATAGACATAGATGTCATGGTAGGTTGAAAAAAAAAAAAAAGGAGAAGTAAAGGACTTTTACCACGCCTTCAGGCGTATTGATCATACCGGTCTAGAACTTACATTGTATAGACCAGTGTTTTCCAAACTTGTTTTTTTTTTTTTAAATTTGCGGCGCCTTTTTTCCACGGCGCCCTAACCTAAGTAAAAGTATGACTATTGGTATGTAAGAGATTAAAAAAACTAAACGAAAAAAAAAACTCATGTATCTTCGAATATTTCGCCGCACCCATGTAAAGAGGTCGCGGCTCCCCGTGGTGCCGCGGCGCAGTTAAAAAATCACTGGTATAGACCAACAGGTATTTGATGGGTGATGTCAACGATGTCATGGTAGCGAAGAAGACGTTTCGCTTTTTTTTTTCTTGTCTGGAAATCACAGCAGTCTTTCTAAAGCATTTCATAATGTTTTGTTTTTGTTTTCTGTTTCTCAAAATGTTTATAGTGACCAAGTTTAACAGTAACACTGGTAGCAAAATGTTGGAAGCAAAATAGTTTCATAACGCACCATCACCTCGATTTACAACACATGCGACCTATGATCACCCACACTTAAGACCATAATAAATAAATAATAATAGTAAATAGTGAAAGATGACTAAAGAAATATTTTTTAAACAGACAATCTAATTATCTTAAATGATTAAGCGATAGAGGAAGTTGAAGAATTTATATACCTCGGAAGAATAGTTATTCCCGATTGAAATTCTGAAAAGGATGTAACGTCAAGAATAAACAAAGCAAATTAAGCATTTGCCATGCTTAACAATATATGGAAGTTAAAGGGATTTAGTTTGAAGACAAAACTCAGAATATACAAGAGCAACCTTCTAGGACTACTATTATACAACAGTGAATGTTGGAAAATGGCAACGGGAATGTTTGCAGAATGCCTTTGGCAAAAACAGCTCTCTGGTGGACAGCAAGTGGAAAAAGAAGACGTGGATGACATATGGAAACCTAGAGAAGGACAATAGTACGGGAAAGGAAGGAATGTATACTGTCATGGGATACCATTTGCAGAAAAACAGACCAGCAGCATTTGATTTGATTCAGTCAGCGAAGAATTCTGATACTAATGGTGCAAGTAGCATTCTATTTAAACGTCCGTCTTGTCTTTCCTCTGAGCCTTGAGCATCTGCCAGAACCTCTCGTCACTCCCAACTGCATCAATCTAACCACACGGTGGGGATCAATCTGCTCCTCCGAACTGTACAAGCTCTCCCACAAGGCACTAACCACGTCTGCCTTATCATGCATGAGTATTCCACCAAGCTGTGCAGAGCCAGCCAGTGTGTCCGCCTGTTCATTTCCCAACACACCGGCATACCCTGGTGAAAAAATACAGACAATTATCCTCATCCGTGTCCTCCGCAGCGAAGCATGCCACTCTGCTCGAAGCATGCCTGTCTTGATCTTCCTTGGTATGCCCTCTGAGTCAGCCACAATCACGATGTGTGCGTGTGTCATGCTCTCCAGCCAGCGGAAAGCCTCAGTGACCTCCTCCACCTCCATTCCCAAGCTGTATGTTGTGGCATCATACGTTAGGCTCTCCTGCACCAAATGTCGACCATCAACCTCTGCTAAGAAACCCAAAGCACATTACTTTCCTCCCGACACAGAACCATTCGTGTAAATGATCAAATCCTCAGAGTGAGCATCATCTTGAATCAATTGCTGAACTTCCATCTCCGCGGCAGGCCGCCGGCCAGCCCCGCACCCCCGGCTCAGCGTGACCATGACCCTACACAGGACCTCTCCATTGAACAATAAACGCCCAAACCCCACGCACAAACAAACACTTAATTGGAGAACGTATATAATGGTTTAGGAAACCTTTTGCCCTAGTGCCCATTTTTTTAAGGGGCGGAGGCTTGGCCACCCTAAGTTTTATTGCCCACGCTACCCCGCCCCCAGTCTCCGAGTTGGTGGTTGGTCAAGCTGTCTGAGATCCCAGGGGCGAGTACATTTAGAACTTGGTTTGAGACAGAACGTTAACACTACATTTATATTTTTAACCATGTCACGTGCTCACGCAAATTTCGGTTGGTCATGTGACATTAGTTTTGAAAGTGTTCTTGAAAGTTTACTGATAAACAAGGAAGTGCGGCTTGTTTATGACTTGTAGAATAAACAGCTTTTTATATTTCAGAAGGGTGTTTGCAGTTGCGTATGAGCTTACATTGTCTGTTTCTGTGTTTTTTTTTTAAATCAATTCCTTTGTTTCATATTTAATTGTTAGTCCAATTTAAGTTTTTTTCAAGAAGGAAACGATGTTATAATAGTAAATACAAATTAATGATAGTAATAGTAATTCATTTGCAGTAATTAATATTATTATAAATATAATTATCAGTTCCTACTAACAAATTAATACATATCTTTGTTATTATTTTTTATTAGTGTTGTAATTGAATGTTTTTGGGCCGAAAGGCGCATGTAATAATGTATCAAAGTCTAGCTGTAAACCGCAGCATAACACAGCAAAGAAGATATTATCATTAGTAAGTAACTGTTACTTTAATAACATTAAATATGATTGACTAGAGTACAAAAAATTTACTATATATCTCTCTATCTCGCTATATATATATATATATATATATATATATATATATATATATATATATATATATATATATAAATCTACTTAAACAGCAAATCAAATAACAATGGACAGTATTGTGAAAGAAGGTATTAGAGAAAATACTACAGTGTAAATGATTCTATATAAAGGATCATGTTTGCAAAAGCAATACTTGTGAAATTCAAGTATGTTACATCATTTATTTACATAAGAAGTGAAAAAAGGTGAAAGAAGTATACTCTTTATTGTTTAATTTGTTTTGTCTGTGAAGATAATGTGTGTGGAACTCAAGGGAAAACAACTACATTCATATCCTTAGAATAAGTCGCTTGGAAGAACTATTATTACATTATTGGTGCAATGTCTTTTTCATAGCTGTCTTCAGATTGAATTACTTGACATGCCATTGCAGATGAAGTCAAATTAACTAATTCCAAAAAGAGCATTTATTCCCTTTCAGATTGGATTCTGAGGTCACCAGATATTTGAAGTCATGAAGCAAATAGTGGGGTGGAAATGTTTGCTCTTGATTTTAAACTGCCTAAAAACTGTTACATGTGCCAAAGAACAACAGCCAAATATTGTTCTTGTTGTAGCGGATGACTATGGGTATCGAGATATTGGTTATCACGGGGCAGAGTTTGCGACACCAACTCTGAATAAACTTGCGGCAGAAGGTGTTAAGCTGGAGAACTACTATGTCCAGCCAATCTGTTCCCCTACCAGAAGTCAGCTGATGACTGGAAGATACCAGGTGAGAAATGCTTGTGTCTTTTACTTATATAGTGTCAGGTTGAGGGGGAGAAGAATGAAGCAGAGGAGAAGGAATGAGAAGCATACAAGTGAAGAGGGGAGTGTGAGATCAGAGAGTAATAAGAGTTAGGTGAAGGAAGAGAAGGGCAGGAGTAAGATGGAGGGTTACCAGAGTGAGGTGTAAAAAAAAGGAGATATGGCATTAGGGGTTACAAGTGTAAGGTGGAGGAACTTATGGGTGAGATGGGGAACTGCAGAAAGGAGGAATAGAACAAGGAGGGTTACAAGACAAGTTGTGAAGAGCAAGAATGATATGGAGAGTTGCAAGAGTGAGGCCAAGGAGGGGGGAAATACAAAGTTGAGTTTGAGAAGGGTAAGGGTGGAAAGAAGGGCAAGGTTGAGGAGATGAGTGATATCTCCATAGAGCATGATTTCTGAAGTCACAACTACTTCTTTGTGTTCACTGGCTGTAAGCTCCAGCAAAAAGTAATGGGCGTTCATTCACCTCTGAACTTCAGTCTTGTTCCAGAACCTGAGTGTTGCACCCCAACTGTTTCATGCATCTGGCTTATTTGTATGCAGACTTTTGGTTCCTTGCCTCTCAGGCAGATGTACTCCCACTTCAAAGGATGCCCCCAATTAGTAGACTCCTACGTCATGCTTGTTGGGGAGATAGTGTGTCTTTTCTTGTTTTTCCCACAATGGGGCCCCGGAACCCACAAGGGGACTGCAAAGACCAGAATTGCTTTCTCACATCTTCATAAATTTCATTTCTCTACAATAGATTAAATGTCATTTTGTGGTTTCCAGTATTAAATATATGACTGATTGACATCTAGTTTGTTGAATAAATGCCCCGTTACATTATGTTATTTTTCAAGATTATTGTCTTTAGAGTTGGCACTTTATATTTAATTGTTTTCTTCTTCCCAATGTCTAGATTCATACAGGATTACAACATGATATTATCTGGCCTTCTCAACCAAATGGCCTTCCATTACAATTTCCAACCATTGCTGATTTGTTGAAATCTGTGGGCTATTCAACACATGCCATTGGCAAGTGGCATCTTGGATTCTACAAGAAAGAGTACACTCCTTTATATAGAGGATTTGATTCTTTTTATGGTAAGGAATAAGAGAAATGGTTGCAGGTTATTTATGTTAGTTAAATATTGTGTTCACAACCTGTAAGTTAGTTTTGTATCCTTTACAGGACGTTGCAGAACCAGGTTGGTACACAGGCAGTCAAAGAAACAAGGAGCAGGTACACATGCAATCAAAGTAACAACGGACTGGTATATAATTAGTCAAAGTAACAAGTGGCTTCTATACAAGTAATCAAAGTAACAAGTGACTTGTTTCAGAAGTAATCAAAGGAACAAGCAGCTGGTACACAAGTAGTCAAAGTAACATGCAGTTGGTACAGAAGTAGTCAAATAAGAAGCAGTTGGGAAAGGAGTGAAAGTATTAGTGATTGGAATAACATGATCAAAATAACGCCTGACTTGTAAAGAAGTAATGAAGTCCTACTCTTGATGTTGTGCACTCACAAATAACATCTTTCTCATTTCAGTTTCTTGTCTACATTCTCCTTCAGCACATTCTTTAACATGGGGAAAGGCAAGATGGACATGCAATCATACTGGAATCATCAAAACTGGAACTATGCAATGGCTGCTGAAGATGTGGACTCAGCACTTAAAGGAATATCCTGAAAGCTGTGGTGTCAGTTCTCAACTCTTTAACAAGCAGATTACTTTGTTCTTTATCAATGCTTGGTCTACTGCTACAGTTAATATTGTAATTCTAAATGTGAATGGTTTTCTGTTTCAGGATATTGGGAAGGAGGCGAAGACTACTATACTTATTACCACTGCGACAGCTTTCATAACAGATCAACTCCAACAGACATGAGGATTCTTCAGGGTTACACCAATGAAGATATCCTATCAGGCAAATATGCAGATAAAAAGACATGGTGTGGCTATGACCTGAGAGATATGAGTGAACCTGTTACTAACATGAATGGGACATACTCAACCCATCTCTATACAAAAAGGGCTATTGATGTAATCAATAGATCCAAGAATGCTGGAAAAGTAGGTTGTAGTTGTATACACTGTTTAATAGTCTATACTAGTATTAGATTATGCATACCACCTTGCTTTTGTTATCGTTGCTAGACCTGGTAACATACTTCATCATGTGTGTTCTGGTTACTTCATTGGGAAAGGGGAATGGGGGGGGGGGGGGGGGGTATAAACTGCCCCACTATCAAGCATATACTTCTTCTTCTTCTGCATTTGACATCAGGGATGCTTAACATTCAGTTCCGTATAGGTCAGAAATAGGATTTTGCATCTAAGGTCCCCCACAGCTTCTTTGTTTGTAGAAGCATATAGTAAAAGATAACTTTTTAGGGTTTTTCTGAAATCAGATGTGTTGGGCAGAAACATACAAATATCAGAGCCTAGCTGTAAACCACTCAGTGTGCCAACCACCCTTTTAAGGATGAACGTAGAAGAAGATGGTGACTGACCAAGGCATAATTGAGGATAATTGTATGGTGAGATGAGATGCTTAAGTAGAATTATCAGTCATTCAGTTGGAAGAGAGCTGTCGTAGTGTAGCGTCTAGATGCTTGCCTGCAAATGGCAAGGTCATAGGTATGGGTCGTGATGGTGTTGGACTTGTTTTCAAAAATGATCTTGGCTTCCAATTCGATTTAGCCTTGAGTGGGTACCAGGTCCAGTTCTGGGAAGTAAAGGTGGCTGGTGTAATGCTGACTGCATCACCCACCATGTGCCAGTTAGTCTATAAAATGTATCTTGCCCTGTAAGGAAATGAGAGAGCAGATGAGTTGGCAAAAGCTGGGAGTAATCTTCCACAACCTCATCCACCACACAGCTACAAGGAAACCAAAACAGCGCTAAAGCAGTCTTTCAAGCGGGAGTGGAGAAGGCAGAATGGAGATTACAGACCAGAGAGTGACAGCATAAACAAACTCAACAGGAAAGAACAAACATCAATTTTTAGACTTTGGACTGGACACTGTGGTCTTCGAGCACACTTGTACAGGATAGGCATAAAAGAATCTGCTGCCTGTGATTGTGGAGCAGAAAGACAAACCCCTGAGCACATACTACAGTACTGCCCTAACCTCTCCCAGCAAAGACTGTGGATCTGGCCCAAAGGAGCCACATTGCAAGAGAAGCTATGGGGGACGGGTGGCGACCTTAAACGCACAATCCTATTTGTGACCCAGATGGAACTCAATGTTAAGCATGACTGATATCAAACGCAGAAGAAGAAGAAGAATCTTGCCCTGTATGCCTAATATGCTTCATGGCATTAATAGGGTCCTTTACTTTATTTAAAAAAGACAGACTAAGAAATAAAACACAGGGAAATAGTAGGAAAAACACACTGCATTGATTACATATTAGGAAGGGAATAGGATAAGTTAGTGTCCTTTGGATATTCTCTCCAGATTATGCCAGATACACTGACAGATTGGCTGGGTGTTAAATTCTTCTTCTTCTTCTTTGCGTTCACCAGCTGTAAACTCCGGCGCCAGGGGAGGAGGGGGAGTGTACCTCTCAGGGAGTGGGTGATGGGCGTGAGGAGGTATCGGGGAGGGGGGGGGGGGGTCCAATCAATTTTGAAAATGAGTTCTTTTGTACTTGTAATAATTCGTCATACTGCCAATTTTTGGTGCTCAAGTTAATTATAAATACAATATCTTTAATATCTTTACAAATATTTATAAAATTAAATGACAAGGAAGTTTTTGTTCCATTCCAGGCCTCTGTCAGTTAGGGACTGTCGGATGTTGTCTTCCCAGCGCACCCTGGGTCGTCCTGGAAGTCTGGTTCCCTGGTTCTTAGCCTTCCATGCCTGCCATGGTGGCCGATTTTCTCCCATTTTGCATACATGTCCAAACCATCATAGCCAAGAATATGATAACACCTGCATTTAATTATAAATTAAGAACATTTTTGATCCCATTTTGTTGTAGGTTTGAGGCCACTGCTCTACACTCAGTGGAAAGGCAAGAAGGACAAATAATCAAACTGATATATTGCCACCATTGGAACTGGAACTCTGTGCTGGCTGCTGAAGATAAGGGTGGGGCACTTATGGGAATGTCCCAAATGCTGTGGTGTTAGTTATTAACTCAGATCAGTTCATGATGACCTTGCACGTTTTTCAGAATTGTCTCTCCTGCCTGGTGAAGAAAGACATCAATAAAAGAAAATGGTATCCTAATTTGCAGTAGCCAAGTATATACGAAGGCCCAACTCTTCACACTCTTATGACAGTATCAGATACTGTTTTTATTTAATGAATATGCTTACACATTTTTATTGTCAAATGTTTACACACCAAATACACAAATTTAGTAGAACTATCAGTTTTTTGTTTTTTTCAGTTGTCTTATTATTGTTCTGCAGCCATTTTTCTTGTATCTAGCCTACCAAGCAGTACACGCACCCATGGAGGTTCCAGCTGAGTACACGAAGCCGTACGCTTTTATAAAAAACAAGAACAGGAGAATTTATGCAGGTAATTTTTTTTCGTCAGCTTGGATATTGAGAAGACAGAAGTCATTGTAATATCAAACAAAAGAGAAAATATATAATACAAATCAAAGGTTTCATTTTAGGACACTAACAGACATTTAAATATATCTAGGCACATGGATAACATCCGAGGGAAGATGTATCACAGAGATAAAGAATGGAATATAAAGGCCAAAACTACATTTTATAAAACGAACTAGCTGTACCCGGCCACGCGTTGCTGTGGCATAGTTTGGCTAAATGTAAATGAAAGAAAATAGAAATCGCACGTGTCTAATACAATCATTGTCTGCTCAGATAAGAAATAGTTTTTGATCTCCACCCCACCCCCACCCCACAACTAAATCCACCTACTACCCTCTCCCTCATCAAAGGTTTTTGGAAAAGAAATACAATGGAAATCGCACCTGTCTAATATAGTTAATGTCGCAATCATTCTCTGCACATTTATATAGAGATAGTCTGGTTTTCCAACTTTAGAACACGCACCATATAATTGTGTCTTTATATTAGTGGTCGTCTAAATGGTGCTATTAGCACGGTAACAAAAGTGGTTATTTGGTTATCTCATGCTAAAGCTGTTTGTATTTTTATAGGAGACGGAAGTAAAGCTTCAACTGTACTTGTAAATAACAAAGTAAGTCGTAAAAAATAGAAAAGCGGAGGTAGCGTTAGTAAAATATAAACAAATTAGGTAATGAGAACTTGAAAATCACGTGTAAAGCTCTTTAAGTTCTCTTAAATTTAAGTCATTACCCCCCTCCCCTCCCCTCTTCCACCGACTACTGCTCTCTCCCTCTTCGAAATATTTGAAAATCATTACCTGGCAATATTTTGTTGTTGCTGTAACTGACATTGACATCCCTGTCCATCTGGACTAAAATGGGGAGCAGGAATTGTAATAGGTAGTGAATGGGGCTAGTGTAATATTTACCACATCATCCTTCAAGTACCAGTACAACTACTAAAATAATGTCACTGCTATCTGTGTTACCATCGGAGTAGACAGAGAGTCGTGAGCCAGAAGATTTGGTTCTGCATGGCTAGTGCTGTCGCCACAGACTGGTCAGGTTAGGATGTATAATTTCACTTGCCAACAGAAGAACGCCATAACCTTACCGGCGGTCTTCACATGAGAGCACTATGGTGTAACAGCCCAACCACAACTATTACTGCTGCTGCTACTTTAAGTGGGTAAAGCAGTTACTGTGACTTAAAGCTCTCTCAGTAAATAGTTTGCCCCCCCCCCCCCCCCAATTCACCGACAACTCTTTCTCTCATTGAAGTAGTTAGGAGGAAAAAAAAAACACTTGAAAAGCAAATGAACACAGGAAAAAAACACCATAATTAGGAAATGAACGCCATGGTAAACAGCACAGCTTAAAATTCCAACGCAGATGAAATAACTAAATCTAAATAAAAATAAATGAAAATCTATAAAATTTCAGCGTAACCATGCAATCAGAAAGTTTTAAAATGCAATCATAAGTATGCGAAATGGTCAAATTTAATTATCAAATGGTTTACCCATTTACTTGTCTTTATTTTTTTTTAATATTAAGGCAACATGGCTAGTGCTGTCACCACGACAGAGCAGATGAGGATATTATTTTAGTCCGGGGTAAAAAAAAATATTAACTACTGCGGATTCGAACCCAGGTCTCCCGAACAGGAACACCAGTGTTCTAACCATTCGACCAAGCAGCCAATTAATCGGATAAACGAAAAGAGAACTCAAGTATTAGAGATATGTGTCCCTACTACTAAGTCCTGATTAAAACACAATTCAAAACCGCAGGCAATTGTTTTCTCGTAGACAGATACTCCAGATATATTAATGAAACGGCACAACAATAGAAATCGCACGTGTCTAACACGGTTAATGAAGTTAATGTCACAGTCAATGTCTGCGCCGACGTCGAGATAGTCCTTGATTGCCCCCCCCCCCCCCCCCCCATCGAAGGTTGTTTGGGAAAAAAAAACAGAAAATAGAAATCGTGTTTAATATGGTTATTGTGGCAAATATTGAGATAGTCTTGTTTAATGTACCACGTCCTACTCTATGTATTAGAGAAGGCGTTGGCTGCACGTAACTCGCCGGCAAATGGCGGAAGCCTTGCGTTCTGACTACAGCGGCGCATGCGCAATTACTAACGTGGCTTTAATTAGAAATCACTAAAGTTATAAATATTAGTTTCGAATATTATGGCTTAATATGTGGTCACCTATCTCTAATAGCGACAGGTTGAATTTCAAACCATGATGGTTCAAAATCCGGTATCAAAACAAACATATCCTGAAAATTTCAGCTAAATCGGTTCAGTAGTTTCCGAGTCTATAGGGAGCAAACAAACACACAAACATTGATTTTTATATATATAGATAACATTTTATGCAAAATAGCCATGTCACTGGAGGTTACAAAAATAATTATTGCATGCTATATAGAGAAAGTTTAATTTATAGTCGTGAATCCTGGACAGTTAATAAATAAGTTGAACAATTTCTCAAAACCTTGGCGATTTGATTTTAAAATAGTATCCTGAGACAGCCAAAAAGTGCAGTCCAAATGTTTTCAGAGAGGTGAGGGCTTAAAGAATGTGAATTTTGTTCTGTAACATCATATCTTTTAATCCTGAATTTGTTTTTGCTTGTTTACTAAATGTCCATCTGCGCTGACTGCTGAAGATTGGGATGGAGCACTTTTGGAAATTCCCCTAGTGCTGTGATGACGGTTCTCGAATCAACTTAACTAACTGTCCATGATTCACAGCCATGTTTTAAAGCTGGCTCGATGTATCATGCATTTTTTTGTCTTACTGCCTAAACATACTTTGTTGTGTAAGATGATCTTTGATAAAATACAGTTTCTATTTGTCGTATTCTGTGTCTCCATGGCACATTTTCGTCTGCTGCATAATCACACATGGACTTTGAATATGTGTGTTTACCAGTTCACATCCAGCAGCAATATCTAATTTTTTCCCTTCTCCTCATCCTCCTCCTCCTTCTTCTTCTTCTTCTTCTACTACCATTTATCCCCTAATAGAGCACAGGCCCTCATCAACTCACACCGTCATCCTAACCTTTGCTGACACATGCAGCTCACCCATGTTTTCCCTATCTTTTAACTTCACTCGTTCCCTTTCCCATGAGTATTTTTGTCTGCCTTTATTCCTTTGACTCTGTGGGTTTCAGCGCAAAGACATTCTGGTTTTATTGTTTTCAGGTTTTCACAGTGTGTTCTATCTAACAATAGCATCTTTTGCTCACCTTCTGATTCATTGCCATTTTTATATTTCTCTTCCAAAGCTCTACATTAGTGATTTTATCATGCCATTTTTATTCTGCCTATTCTGTGTAGGCACACATGAATAAAAATGCATAGATTATTAGTAATAAGAACCTAGGGATTTTTAAAAACACTTCTTGATGTTCTCAGGCATGGTTAGTGCCATGGATGAAGGTGTCAGAAATGTAACCGAAGCATTGAAGAGCACTGGGCTCTGGAATAACACTGTTTTCATCTTCACAACTGGTACGTATATTTATTGAAGGGCAAGAGGCCAGACAAAGGTTTGTTTTTTGATGCCATAACAGAAAGAGAATAGCAACACTGAACCCTAGCATGTATGTCATAGAGGCCACTAAGGAGGTTTGACATTTGTCTAGCTACCTTTTGTTTTTATAGTTGATGCTGTGTAGTGTTGGTAATCTTATCTATCCACATCCTTCTGTCTCAGGTTCTTTCAGTCATTTCTGACAACTATGATCTTCCACACTCTATGCCATGTGGCTTTGGTAGTCATGATTATCAAAAATAAAAATGAACAGACCCACAGCCACGGGTTATAGTAACGTTGTCGGGCACAGAAAGAGAGTGATTTCTCTTCCCATTGATTGATGCGTAATAGTGACGCAGGACGTCTCCTATCTTGCGGAGATATTACAGTATCGTTTGCTTCGGTCATCATATATAATGTTTGTGGGAGGTTGTGTATCGTGAGTCTATTTCAGGCACCTGCAGCACCTATGTACAAATAAGAAGTCCTGCAGGGGAAGTGCCGCAGGTGTGAAGATTCTTGAGTATTGAATCTGGGATATTTTTGTATTTTACATTCTTTGGCCGTGGCTTCCCCCGAGACAAAGAAAGCACTTGCAAAGAACGTAGGTTGGAGTAGAAAAGTATCGCTTTTTATGTAGTTCCTAACCATTGCTCAGGTAGCAAAACATAGAAATAATCACGCAAATCAGCAGTGAGAAGGTGAGAAAAGAGAGAGGTTTCAAAGGGTTCACAATAAGGAATATGTGACACCCCCACAAGATAGGAGATACCCTGTACAACAATGAGGCATCAATGGGAAGAGAAGTCACTCTGTTTATGGGCCTGAGTTTGTTACTAGAACCTCCTACGAAGTCAGAGTTTATCTACCTGAGAGATGAGGAACCTGCAGACTGCATATAAGTAAGCCATATCTATAAAAATGATGTGGATGTAAAACTGAAATTGTAGAATAATACTAAAGTCCAGAAATAGACGAACTACCAGAACTTTCCATACAGCCAGTGAACACTAAGAGAAAGAACATATGCAACTAACATTAACCTTTTACTGTTTAACTTCTGTAAAAAGTCATGTTTAATATATTGTGTAAAATGAAGGTAAAAATTATTGTTTAATATACTATGTAACATAATATGTGAGATCTTAGTTTACCTGTGTTTCAACAGATAATGGTGGGCAGGTTCATGCAGGGGGAAATAACTGGCCCTTGCGCGGCCTCAAGCATACCTTGTGGGAGGGTGGCGTCAGAGGCATTGGGTTTGTGACTGGACCCCTTGTTCAACAGCAGGGCAAGGTCAGCGAGGAGCTGATGCATGTTTCTGATTGGTTCCCAACAATCGCTGAAGCAGTGGGCGTCCAGATAAATGGCACTTTGAAGTTGGATGGCCAAAGTCAGTGGCAAATGATTAGGTATGATTTTTTATTCAATTACAAATTATTTTGAGCCATAGAAGTACAGTGGCTAAATGCTGTGCTGTCGACCAAAAGGTCTTGGGTTCAAATCTATATTAAGGTGGATTTTATCATTAACCTACGGCTCGCAGGTTGGTCCAGTCTAAAATTCTCTCCATGCGGGTTCCACAACTCCATTTATGGAGTAAAAAGAATAGACCCACTGCCCTGTTAACAAGAATGTTGTAGAAACTGAAAGTGACTAATTGGAGGGATTTCTTTCCAAGTCGGAGCGCATCCACCATAAAAGTAAGGAACCAACAGTCTGCATACAAAGCCAGATCTGTAAAATGGTCATGCATGCACAACTCAAATTCTGGAATAAGACCAAAGCCAAGAGGAGGAAGAACAACCAGAATTTTTTGCTTGAGTTTACAGCCATTTATCCGACTCATATATCATCGTCATATTTCAAATTGTTGACATAGAAGTGGGTTGAGGGTGAGCTATCAGCTCTCACCAGATACCCCTAAAGCATGATGCATTCACCATCTCTGATAGCAGAAGTGTGACTTCTTGTATTGTCTGTTAAATTTCAGTGAGAAACAGTACAAATCATCATCATTTTATTCACATCATTTTACTGATTTTGCTTTTGTTTCACAAGAGATTTGTACAAATATGTTTCAACAAATAAACACTTAAAAAAAAAAAAAAAGGCCATGCTCCCAGGATGAGGCTCTTCCATTGCACTTTGGTTGGGTTGACGCCTGCGATCACCCCAAATATGGGTGACTCGAGTGCGTAATTTTTCCGTAATGGGGACTGCATTCGCGCTATCCCCTAAATAATAATAATTTAAAAAAAAAAAAAAAAAATTCTTGTGGAGGTACTGTTTGAACCAACAGGAGAGAAGGAGACAAAGGCCATATTTGGCACCTTAAAACCTGACTGGTCCTCAAGTAGGATCATAGTCCACCCTAGCAAAACAAGGTGCTGAAGTCAGAGGCAAGCATTTACAGCTGCACCGCATCAATCACCACAGACGCACCCAAGGCAAATGAAAGAGGAAGAAGAAGATCAAGTGCCTTCCTCACTTGAGATCGTGTCATCTCAATCAGCCTGTATCAGTTCTTTTGATGACATTCTTCCATAATTAGTTACATCTCTTTTACAAGATGTAGCAGAACCAATCCAACATTTCTTAGCAATTGGGTTTTAGAAGGTGATTTTATATTTAGTAGTTTGCCATTGTTCTGTAAACCGCCGGCATTAAATACCATTGTTGAAATCAGTTCAGAGTGGTCTGCTGCCAGATTGCCTGCAGCTGGAATTGAAAAGATTTTTAAAAAAAATTACGAAGTGTGTTTGCAACTCCTAAGTCACAGAAGCCAACACTTTTCCATAACATCACAGAAATAATGTAAAACATCTTTTCTTGAACTAATTATTTTATAATCACGAAGCGTGTTTGTAACGCCTAAGCTACAGAAACCAACACTTTTCCGTAACATCACAGAAATACTGTAGAACATCTGTTCTCATTGTCTTCCCCTAGCTCTCTTTCCAGTTGTCACCTGTTCTAATTGTTCATTTCTCCTAATACGGCTGGCGTGTGAAGTAGCTTAAATAAATAATTTCCTGGGTCTGTTGTGTGCTGGGCATATGGTGTAGGCCTTATATTTTTTATAGACTTAGTGGTATTTGATAGGTGAGGCAGATATTATCATGCTGGCCACCTTTACTTCCCGGAACATTTCTAGCAACATCAGCCTGAAAGTCTAAGTCAGTTTTAAAGATTCAAACATGTGATCCTCATGTAGGTTGTGCGACTCCTTTTCAGGGGAAGTAATACACCAACTGCCCTCCTAAATAGCGTGTCATAGCAGTTGACTAATTAGGAGTTTTTACTTCGAAGGCGGAGTGCATCTATGCCTGAGAGGAATGGAACCAACAGTTTGCATGAAAATAAGTCAGATCTGTAAAGCGGATGTGCAGGCGAGAAGTCCAGAAATGGATGAACAACAAGAAATTTCCACAGGGGTTTACAGCCAATATAAGTGAAGAAGAAAACTGTGAGACACCTCAGGTAGAGTTGAACCACAAGCACTTGTGTATTAGGTAAGCGTGCTACCAGTGAAACTCTTCTGTTTTGTTAGCTTAACATTTTTGTGTGTGATCCTTTCAGTAAAGGTAGTTTGGGCAGTAGGAAGGAAATTCTCCACAATATAGACATATGGACGCCACTGAAAGGAAAGATGCTATACAATGACACATTTGATACACGAGTGAGGGCGGCAATCCGTGTTGGAGACTTCAAGCTTGTGACCGGTCACCCAGGTAATTTTACTTCTTTATCTGTCTTGGTATTATCTTTAATATTACCTTACAATTTTGTCTGTATTTTGTTTTGACTCTCTGTCATTAAATTCTGTCTGTGTTGTGTCTCAACTAGTGTCTTGTCTTCCTGAGTACTTCCTGAACTTATTATTGGTTGTCTTGTGCCCAGTGACGGTAAATGGAAAATGTTTGCAGTTTAAAGACTAGGAAACACATTTGAAATTGTAACAAAAGATATACTAAAATGACAAGAATAGAAGGGTAACAGATCCAAGATTCCATGTACTACCCATGATGGTGCACCAGGACAATGGTTCAGACTAGTTCAGATTTATCTACATCTCTGTGGTCATCCTAGAAACAAAACAGATTCCTAGCTACCATAGAATGGACAGTTTGTTCAAAGTCAGAGTGGCTCTGTCTGAGAAACAAGGAACCAACAGTCTGCACACAAGCAGGAAATTGAAAATGGAATGCATGTGACTCTCAGTTCTGGGAACAAAACTAAAGTTCAGACATGGACTAGTAACCAGGGCTTTCCGTCAGAGTTTACAGCAGGCAAACGTGAAGAAATCAAAAGCACAATCAAGGAAGTCATAATAAAAATTTTTTTTAAGGTTTAGTATTACTAGGATAACCAATGTCAAGGTTTGTTCAGTCATACATTATTTAAGAAAATAAAATTAAAAAATCAACCAAGTTTAAGCCTGCTAAAGAGAGCTTCAGTTAAAATTATGGTCTAGTTTTAGGTGTGCCATATTTAATGGCTAATCAGTCAGTATTTGTATTGAAACTGTATAGTCTTGTTACTCCACTTCCCTGTGTGGGTTTCGTGGCCCTATTATAAGGAAAACAAGAATAGACCCACTGCCTACCCAAAAGCATGTCGTAAGAGTTGACTAATTGGGAGCTTCCTTCAAGTTGGAGTGCATCTGCCTGAGAGGCAAGGAACCAGCAGTCTGCATACACATGAGTCAGATATGTAAAATGGATGCACACGTAACACTCAGGTTTTGGAACAGGACTGCAGTCTAAAAGTGGATGAACAACCAGAACTTTCCGCCAGAGTTTACAGCTGGTGAACACAAGGAAGAAGAAGTTACTCCACTGTTCCTTCTTCTCATTATCATCCTCTGGTTAGTCTGTCATCAAATAGTTTTTGAATGAAGAGAATTAAAATGTTTTTCTGGTAAAATTCTTTCTAAAGGAGATGACACCTGGTATCCTCCTCCACACCTGGGAAACCCCAAGGTTGCTAAAACAGACAGCACAAAGAACTGTTGGCTTTTCAACGTCAAGCTGGATCCCACAGAATCGTCTGATCTGTCCGACACCCGGCCTGACCTTGTCCAGGAGTTGTTGAATAGGCTGGTCATCTACAACTCCACTGCTGTTCCCCCTTTGTACCCACAGTCTGATCCCAATTGTGACCCCAAGCTTCATGGTGGGTTCTGGGGACCTTGGGAATAGGAAGGTGGACTGTGTGTAGCAAAGACTATCAGTAGATTGTTTGGAAATTCCTTGAACTTTACTGATGAGCCAGTTAACCCTTTTTGTGCCTCAAGGTTTGTTAGGAGATCCTAAGTGAAGTGAAGGAGGTAATTACTATAAAAACAGTCAGGTTTGGCTTACTTTTGAAGAGGCCAAGAAGGCAATGAAGCGATCTATGGAGAAATCAGACTTTCTTAGTATGTTGTGATCAAATATAAGAAATAAAAGCAGGGTGCAGTGATTGGAATTATCAGGACTGAAAGAGTTAATAAATATCTCTATGACCTAGAGGTTAGTCAGTGCATTAAAAAATTTCATGACCACAGAGTACCAGACTCAGATTTCCCTGATGGATGGTTTATCCCCCCCAAAAAAAACTGTTCTCGTGGTTGTTGGACTGGTACAAAAAGACTGGGAACTCACTATGCAAATTCTCAAAGACAGGAGTGGTACACTAAAGCTAACCTACAATGTGGAGAGGATACACAGTTTTTGTTTATTAAAAATCGATGTGGTATGGATGGAAGTGGTATGGATGGATGTGGTATGGATGGATGTGGTATGGATGGATGTGGTATGGATGGATGTGGTATGGATGGATGTGGTATGGATGGAAGTTCCTAGGGAATGGAGACAATGGGAAATGGGAAATAAGGCCAGTGGAAATTTGACTGTTGAAGCTGGGAAATAGACACTAGCGAAATAAAGACAGTGGATATATAGAGACACTAGCAGAATAAAGACAGTGTATATATAGAGACACTAACAGAATAAAGACAGTATATATATAGAGACACTAGCAGAAAAAAAGATAGTGGATATATAGCGACACTAGCAAAATAAAGACAGTAAATATATAGAGACACTAGCGAAATAAAGACAGTAAATATATAGAGACACTAGCAAAATAAAGACAGTAAATATATAGAGACACTAGCAGAGTAAAGACAGTGGGCACATAGATGCTAGGGGAATAAAGACAGTTGGCAGATAGATGCTAGGGGAATAAAGACAGTAGTGGGTGAATAGATGCTAGGGTAATAAAGACAGTAGACATATAGATGCTAGAGGAATAAAGACAGTGGGCGTATAGATGCTAGGGGAGTAAAGACAGTGAGTATAGAGACAAAAGGGGAATAAAGACAATGGGCTTATAGAGACAAAAGGGGAATAAAGACAGTGAGTATATATAGACAATAGGAGAATAAAGACAGCGAGTATAGAGACAAAAGGGGAATAAAGACAGTGAGTATATAGAGACAAAAGGGGAATAAAGACAGTGAGTATATATTGACAAAAGGGGAATAAAGACAGTGAGTATATATTGACAAAAGGGGAATAAAGACAGTGGGTATATAGAGACAAAAGGGGAATAAAGACAGTGGGTATATAGAGACAAAAGGGGAATAAAGACAGTGAGTATATATTGACAAAAGGGGAATAAAGACAGTGGGTATATAGAGACAAAAGGGGAATAAAGACAGTGGGTATATAGAGACAAAAGGGGAATAAAGACAGTGGGTATATAGAGACAAAAGGGGAATAAAGAAATGGGCTTATAGAGACAAAAGGGGAATAAAGACAGTGAGTATATATAGACAATAGGAGAATAAAGACAGTGAGTATAGAGACAAAAGTGGAATAAAGACAGTGAGTATATAGAGACAAAAGGGGAATAAAGACAGTGAGTATATATTGACAAAAGGAGAATAAAGACAGTGAGTATATAGAGACAAAAGGGGAATAAAGACAGTGGGTATATAGGGACAAAAGGGGAATAAAGACAGTGGGTATATAGAGACAAAAGGGGAATAAAGACAGTATAGGGACAGTAGGGGAAGAAAGACAGTGGGTATATAGTAAGAATATGAGAATATAGACAGTTGTTATTTAGAATCAGTAGAGGAGCTGAGGTGAGTTGAGTCAAGAATTGGCATCACAGCTCTCGGGGCATTCCTATGCATGCTGTCCTCATCTTCAGCAGCCAGTGCAGAGTTCCAGTACTGATGGTACCCGTCACAGTCTGGTTATATGTCCGTCTTGTCTTTTCTCTGAATGTAGTGCGCCGGCCAGACCCTCTGGTTACACCCAGATTACACCCCTCTGGTTGTACCCTGATTTAAAATGGTTTTGAATTTAAACCAGTAGGGAAAAAAGACAGAGGCGCATGAAAACACTGAACATAGAAGACCGTTGAGCATGGTGGTTTAATGACAGTAGAGCGTTAATACAATGATAAGTGAAGTAGATATAAAAGGCATTCATTCGTGTGCAGACGTTTTGGTCAGTATGGAACCTTTCACTCTCAACTATACTGTGCATGTACTCTGCACCTGTGACTTCTGTTTTAACATTTCAAAATTTGTTTACAAAGTATGTTTATCTTGCAATTTACAATTATGTCATTTAACTTAACATACTACAATACCAGAAATATCTTTGTATTCCTATAATATAACTTTTATGCAGTTAAACAATGTTTTTGAAAATTTTTAATAAAGCTTCATCTCGTTTAGTTGTGCCCTAAGTTTCAGAGACATATAAAGCTACTGGTCTTATCAACGTTTTATATATTTTGACCTTGGTGTTGCGAGATAGAGACTTCGACTTTAGCAGATGTTGAAGGGCATACTGTACTTTACCTGTGGAGTTTCTTCTTATATGTCCAGATTTTATTCTAGATTTTATTTCTTCTCTCAGCATGTTGAAGCTTTTAAAGTTTACACCCAAGTACTTATATGTTTCCGTTCGTTTGATTTTCATATTATCGATTTGTATGTGGCTGGAGTTTACTGATACTTTTCTCCAGTGCCAAGTTGAAAAGAAGTGGGAACAGAACATCACCTTGCTTTAAACCAGATGTTATTTCTGCCTGTATATGTTACTATATTATAAGTGTCTTCCATACATAGTTTGATCATAAAATTAACTTCTTTGGTATTTCAAAGTCCTTCATAATATTCCATAAACTGTTTCTATACTCAATGTATTTGACAAAGAAAAATAAGCAAGAATATAAATGCAACCATTGATGCAACAGTTACATTCTGAACGCATTGTTTCTTAATGATGTTCAAATGTTTGATTCAACTCGAGCAGTATTGTACAAATAAAGTATGGCTGGTTTCTCTGTCATACTGCTTCTGAAGGTAGGGAAGGTGCATTTCTAAACAGTTATTTGGTTTCCACTATGAGTAGCTATTTCTGACCAGAAATTTTTTTGTTTGTTTATAAATATTCATTGTGTATCTGATTTATTCTTACTTTGCAAATTGTATTTCCCCTATTTTAGATGTATAAAACTTACACATGCATAAGATGCACCTTAAAAATGGAAAGAAATTTCTAGAAAAACAAACAAAAACTGAAATTTAAAGAGAAATGCAGCTAATGTTAAAAATTATTAATTGACTTTTCTGGTGCTTTTGAATTTAGAGTCCACTGTACTTTATAAAGTGGTAACACCATACCTTCCCACTTTACAATCACTAATGTTACCTCACCGGTTAACTTTATTGAGTGTGTGTGTAATTTTGATGTTGATATGCCAATGACCTTTTCACAGTTTTCTTGCACCCATTTCAATAAATCAGTCTCATTTTAACTTTTTCCATTGTTATGCACACTTTCCTGTGCTTATTTTGCACAAAATATTCTTTTAAAGACTGCCAAAGCCCTAATGCTTTTTCCCATCACTGGACGTTCTGTTGACCTATTGTCTATAGAGCGTTTGCAATGCCTAAGCCACAAACACCGACTGAAAGATACTAGCATGATCTATGTCAGTGGTTCTTCAAGCTCTGAAGGGCAGTAAATGCTGCATAACTGATATAGCTAAGATAATCCTGGATGCTGATCAGCTTATTACCACATACAACATCAGAATAGTGATGCAGTGGATTCCAGGCCACTCCGGCACACCAGGTAATGACAGAGCTGACAGACTGGCAGTTACATTTCCCATGTAGTTACATCTCCTATCCTCACATGTTGTTAAGCTGGATGCAAAAACACTAATTATTGTTGTTATCAGTGGGGAAAATATTTCTTACATCAAAAATTTTTTGTTTGTTTTCCAGGTTAGAATCTGTACATATTGTTTGATTACAACAATAACACCAAATTTTTGTATTGAATTTTCTTTATAATAAAAGACTTGGTCAATGATAACATCTTTTAAAGATGTAAAGTTAGCTGTGTGTCGATATACACAATCTTCCATCAGTAAGACAGTGTATCATAAAAAACAAAAAAGTCAAGGACCTTTTCCACACCTTAAGGCTAGGGCATATAGGGCTAGACCTATATTTTTATAGACCAATCGGCACATGATGGGGGATGTGGTCAGTATCACGCCGGCCGCCTTCACTTCCCCGTGACTGAAACCCGGTACCCACTCAAGACTGGGTCGACCTGGGAGCCAAGGTCATTTTTGAAAAAAGTCCGGCTCTGCCAGGGAGCGAACCCACGACCTTCCGATCCGCGGCAAGCGTCTAGCCGCTCAGCCACGGCGACTCTCCGTATCATTTTTACCTGGGGGAAAATCGTATGTGTTGGTGGCTGTCAATCTTGATACTGTCATGAGATAGACCCATTGCTCCCTAACAAGCATGTCATAACAGGTGACCAATAAGGATGTGCTGAAATAGGATGTCTAGGCCTAAAGGGTGCAGATATCACAGTCTAGCTGTAAACCACAATATAATATACCAACCACACATTTAAGGGCAAAAGCAGAAGGCGGATAAGAGTTTCATTATTGTCATTGTTATTGATCTTGTTCTTTCTACCCTTTATCTCTCAATGGAGGCGCCAAACATTTTGCACCAAGCCTATCTATCCTTTGACATCTCAGGCAACTCACCATATGTCATCGTCTTGCTGACCCCTGACTCCATTTCTCATCTCTGTGTGCACAGATTTTTTAAATTCCTTCAATACGTTGGCCCTCTAGGTTCTAGTGCAAGGCCATTCATATTAAACTGTTATTATATAGTCTCAGAATGTGTCCTTTTTCACTGACATATTTTGTCCCTACCTCTTGATTCAGTGGAATGTTTAGTTTCCCACCAAAGCTCTGATGGCTGAGTCTGTCATGCCCTTTGATTCCTTCTATTCGATGCACAGTACTGTGCTGACTGGAATGCTCTCTAGTAGAAAAAGCAGCAGCAGATAAAGAGATATGATCTTTGACAACCTAAAACGAGGGCGTGTTGAAATATCGACAGTGAAATTGACTGAAAATGCCAAGAACCAAGACCTGTGGAGAGAAATGAACGCGTACGCTGGTCACATGGGTGGGTCACATGATGATGATTCTAAGCAGGCTATCATTTGGCACAAAATGAATGACTAGACTTTAACACCAGATTTAACTCCCACATAATTTCCTTTCAGTAATAATTAACCATTCACTTTCACATGTCTGAGCTGTAGTAAACAGGTTTTTATTCGAATGACTGCCAGGTTCAGATAATATAACCTCTTGCAATTATTAAGGAATGTATTTGGTATATAAGTTGTGATATAAGTAACTGTTTCAATCGTTACTTTTGAGTATTGCATATTAATACATACAAAGTACAATAATGTTCCCAGCAAGGCAATGCCATCATCTGGAGGAGGCAGGTTCAAATCCCACTGTGCCTATAGTTTTCGTGTCTATATTGTATTCCACGTCTTCTGTTTTCTATTTCTTTTCTGTCCTTGCTATGAGTGCTGATCAATAGCTGTGAATTTTCTTCTTTTACCTTCACTTATGAGACGTTATCATAGGATTCCCTCCATAAAACTTGTGTCCAAATATCGTATCAATGTCCGGATAAACCCCATCTCTTTCTGCACATGTTCATATATAGTTAGAAGGTCGTCGCTTTCATATCGCAGGCAGCTGGGAGCCATCACCATTGCCAAGTTGTTGACATCCATCTTGGTAAATGCAACATTTTCTGGAGAAGCGAAAACCTACAAAAGAAGAAGATGAACAACATAAATGTTAATGACAGTTTATTAGACATATTGCATATTTCCTCCTCCTTTTTCTTCTCCTCCGCTTCCTCCTTTTTCTTCTTCTTCTGTGAGAGAGGGAGAGATGCACATAGAAGAAGGCACTGTAGGCATTCTACTATGTATTCTACAGCTTGGGGAAAAAGAGGATACTGTCCACACAAAAAGTGCCAGGGCTGCTTATTAAATCATTTGCTCACTGCTGTCATCGAAGTGTAGGAAGTTCTTGATACAACCAGCCTACAATATCGATCTGTTGCCACATGACATTTATTTGTTCAGGCCCTTAAAAAAAATCTCCAGTCAAGGGACCATTTAACATAGATGTCATGGTAGATAAAAACAGTAAAAGTTAAAGGACCCTTTACCACGGCATTAGGCCTATTGGTCATACAGGGCTACAACCTACATTGTATAGATCAATCGGCATTTGATTGGTGATGTCAACGATGTCATGGTAGCGACAAAGACTTTCACAATTTATCTTGTCTGGAAATCACAGCAGTCTTATTAAAGCATTTCATATCACTTGTAATATATTTTTTTTTTGGCAAAATGCTTATAGTGACCAAATTTTAACAGTGGTAGCAAAATGTTTGAAGCAAAATGCTTTCATAATGCACCATCACCTCGATTTACAACCTATGCGACGTATGACCACCCACACTTACGACCATAATAAATAAATAAATAAATATAATAAATAACGACAGATAACTACATTGGTAGAATAAAAACGTCCCCAGAAATAATGCAGCAGAGTGCATATTATGAACTTTTGTACTTTTCACATTATAGTTAGGTTAGTTGCGTATCCTTTACAGGACGTTGCAGAACCAACCTCCAACAGCTCCTGGCTGTTGTGTGGTTTTTCTAGGCAAATTGACGTCCAGTAGTTTGCCATTGCTTTCTGGACGATCGGCTTTCTTGATACCCCTGTCGAAACCAACGCAGGGCGCATTTCCCGCAGCTGGGATCGAACCCGGCATCCCGACATTACGAAGCGTTCGCATCGACTTAGCCACAGAGCCGACAAATAAATAAATAATAATAGTAAATAACGAAAGATAACTACATTGGTAGAATAAAAACGTGCCCAAAAATAATGCATATTATGCAATTTTGTACTTTTCACATTATAATACAATAAAATAATTATATGTATCATCATGATCAAGTGCCTTGCCGACTGGCATGGCGATCATGTCTCTCCACAATCTACGATCCGCAACTGCGTGTATCTGTTTGTGTGTTGACACCCCTCCATGACATGACAAAATGCTGTCAATAATCTTCTACCGCTGTCTTCCTCTGCCTCTCTTTCCACAACTTTTTCCAGTGGTCACAACATTTTCCATTTTTCCTCTTCTCATAACATGACCCCCCCCCCCCCCCCCCCCCCGCAAAAAAGACTGTCTCTTACTGATGTTTGTGATAAGTTGTCTTCGAGCACCTGCCTCTTTCAAAACATCTGGGTTAAACTTCTTAGCTGTCCAAGGAATTCTGAGGATTCTTTTGTAAAGCCACATCTCTGAGGTCTCACTATATTGTTCGGTTAGTTTATTTCTTGTCCTGGATTCACAGCCATATGTTAAAACTGGCTCTATATAGCTTGTGATATTTAAATAAAAACAGTGTTGAAAAATATAAATTCGATTTATTACCAGTTCGACTTGTGAGTCGGAACTAAAATCGGTCTTACAGTCGGAACTAAAATCGGTCTTACAGTTGGAACTGAAATCGGTCTTATAGTCGGAACTGAAATCAGTCTTAAGTTGAGGAGAACCTGTGAAAACATCCTATAATTCGTATTTTAAAAAAAAAACTTTAAAAAAAAATATCTTACCCCCCAGATGACGTCATATGGCAGTACAACATTTTAGAGGGTGGTAAGACTGGGTTTCCCTTCTTTCTGGTGCTTTTAACGACCCCCAAACCCCAACCCACCTGCGTCCCACGAGAGAGTGCAGCCTAGGTCCCACGAATGCATGCAGCCTATCTACCACCCCCTGAAATATTAGACTGGTCCGTGACCTGTGGATTTTCCCGGTTTCGGGTAGGATATTAATAGAGCACCAAAATAAAACTACCGTGGCCTAGAAAGGCTAATTTATTACCTGTAAGAAGCGAATGAGGTAACACAGAACCAGGTGGTTGAGGCGTGGAAGCTGGTAGACTATGGCTATGGCGGCTTCAGGATTGGAGAAATTGTCTACACAAGCTTGATAAAACTGGGCAGGAATCAGTGGCTCAAACAGCTCCCGATACCACATTTTGAGCAGTGAGGCGGGGATGTGAGGATCCGTGCAGTCGGTGGGCAGAATCCACTTGTCACATTGAGTCTTCATACTGTTCACTTCATCCATATCACCCGACACCCTGTATGTGGCAGGAGAATAGAGATTGAGGTGGTTACTGAAGCACTTACATGGTTATTTAAGACTATAAGAGAGCATCAGATGAAATCATTCAGCAGTTAAAACAAATCTACTTGCTTACGTGGCTGTGTTATCAGTGGTGTCTTACTTTTAAGGATATCTCTGTTCTCAGAATCTTAGAATCTTCTTCTTCTTAGCGGCCGGTGACTCCAAAGAAAACTCTGGCATAAGGTTTTGGTTGTTCGTCCACTTCTGGACTTTCGTCCCGTTCCTGAACTTGAGTTTTGCATGCACAGATCTGGTGTATTGTTATGCAGACTGTTAGTTCCTTGACTCTCAGGCAGATGTTCTCCAATTTGAAAAGAAACATTCTAAATTAGTCGTTGTTCACAACACGCTTGTTAGGATAGCAGTCGTCTCTTCCCCTTCCCCCCCCCCCCACTGGCCAAATGCCCCAGATGGGATCGGAACCCACAATTTACAGATATAAATATCTTTCTACAGCAGCCATGGGAAGCCAAGAACCAGAGAACCAAACCAACTGGACTAGCCATGGTTCGCTGGGTTAAAATAATAATTGTCATTAAATAAGTCGAGAAATTCTCATAAGTGCTTCGTCCCCATCTTTAGCAGCAAGCGAAAAGTTAAATTCCGATGCTTGCAGTGTCTGTCTGATTGTACATCCGCTTCGCCTTTACCTTGAGTGTTGAGCGTCGGCCAGATCCCATGGTAACTCCCCGCATCGCCATACTCCTCGGACGGTAATGTTCTAATTGTACCTCCGAACTTTCAGATGTTATGAGAAGAGGGAAAATAGAACATGTTGTCACTACTGGAAAGATCTGTGGAGGGAGGGATAGAGGAAGACAACGAGAGAAGATGCTTGACAGTCTTGTTGCATGGCATGGAGGTGTGTCTGCACACGAACTGATACATGCTGCAGGAGATCGCAGATTATGGAGAGGCATGATCGCCCACGCCAGTGGGCAAGGCACCTGATGATGATGATGATGATGAACTTTCACAAGGCCGTCACAATATAAGCTTGTCATATATGAATTCACCAGCTGGGACCTCTAAATCGACACGCTGCACGGAGCGTGCTTGTCTGCACTTTTCTCAACATGCTCTGTGAGTCAGTTATAGTTACGACATATGTGTACAGCTGCTTCTCAGTCCTGCGGAAGGCAACAATGACTGCCTTCGCCTACATTCTCAAACTAAACGTCATGATATATGCCAGGATTTGTTGCAGGTCCGCTGGGAAGTCAACATCCGACAGTCCGTGACTGACAGAGGACAATAATGGAACAAAGCCGAAAAGAAAACTGCTGACAGAAAAGTATGGCGATATCTCTGCCAAACCTCTACACGCCAAGGTAGAAGAGGAGCGAGAAAGTAAGTAAGTAGGTAATATATTTCTGCTAAATAGTAGGAACTGTGCTGACACTCTGAGGCATATTGAAAAGATTATGTTGTATGCATAAATCTGTAATCAATCAACCATATGGTGAATATCAGGCCGGCCGTCTTTACTTCACAGACCATTTTATGTTACTCACGTTTAGGCTAGGTTGCTATCAGGTGATGAGTTCATCTAGGGAAAGATTCAACACCGCAGCGTTCAGGACATCTTCCGATGAACGCAACAGAAGAAGAAGAAGAAGAAGAAGAAGAAGAAGAAGAAGAAGAAGAAGAAGAAGAAGAAGAAGAAGAAGAAGAAGAAGAAGAAGATTGTCAATGTATAGACCAGTTTAATCACATCAGGTTAATTCAAGAAGATAGCTGCCATATTTACAACATAACCGGGAAGGTTAACCCGGTCAACAAATTCCTGCAGAAGTCGGATGTGTCGGCCGAAATGCACAAGGCAATTACATCTTCCGATGAACGCAAAAGAAGAAGAAGAAGAAGAAGAAGAAGAAGAAGAAGAAGAAGAAGAAGAAGAAGAAGAAGAAGAAGAAGAAGAAGAAGAAGAAGAAGAAGAAGAAGAAGATATACAAACTATTCTGCAAACAAAAAGTATGATATAAGTGAGGTCAAATGGAGGTTTAATGCAGTACCTGAAGATTCCCTCCGTTTGTGTTCCATGTAATCTGAGAATTTCCTCAGACAACACAGTTTGTATCCAAGGCAACTGTCTGTCTGGGTATCTGTCCTTCTGCAGTAACATAATATCCTCCAGCATGTTTCCAAACATGGTCGGGCAGCAGATTGTTGCCTAGGAATCCAAAATGACAGGTTAGATTATTAAAACACACACACACACACACACACACGAGTACGCACGCTCTCTCTCACACACACACACATACAGGTACCTTGATAAATAAGTATGAGTAATAAGCTGGGTTATCTTCACAGTACTCCGGGCACACCCAGAGCTGGTCAGATTTCCCCTTCAATACATACAGCAGCGTCTTGTAGTTAGTTAATTAGTGCTAGTCCTATGCTGGATGACACAACTGTGTTTACCTTCCGTGTGCCTTTCACGCTTGGCTGTGCCGATCTTTACTGCCATATTGTTGTTTTATAACCTTATTTCTCATGGTATTATTATTTTACCTGCATCAAACTTCAAAATTAATTAGTTTAGAAAATAAATTCTTAGGACATAACTCAGTTAAGTCGCATCCAATCTGGGACTCACACAATTAAGTGAAGTACTGTTAATTGTTGTTTTTTTAACGTGTCCGTTGGCTACAGTGAGCCGGTGCCGACTACAAGAATATTACGCAAAAATGTATCTAAGTCGATAATAGACGTTGCGAATGTGCTTGGTATTTGCGGAGTACTCGGTAGTAGAAGGCAATTTGGCAGCTGACCGTGGAACACAGACTGTCCAGGATTTCAATGGCAAACGACTGAACGAAAAATAGTCTAGTAAAATCAAACAGATTTTTTTTTCTCCAAATCATGTGAAAAAATAAAGCCAACTTCAGACTAGTTTCTTCTTCTACTTTCTACCCCCTCAGTAGAGCACAGTTCATGCCAAGCCGTTCTATCATTCGCCATAGCATGCAGCTCTCTTTTTTAAGTTGCTCCCTCTTGCTCCCTTTTCCGTCTGTTTGTTGGTCTCCCTTTGTTTCTGTGTTCCGGTGGGTTCCAGTGCAAATAAATTATAGTTATATTGTTCTTAGGTTTTCCCCACCGTGTGTCCTATCCAACGCCGGCATCTTTTCTTCACCTCTTGTTCCACTGGAACTTGTTCAGTTCTCTCCCATAGCTTAACGTTAGTGATACTATTATACCATTTAAGTCCCTTTATTCTGCCCAGTCACCAGTTATTTAATGTTTGGCAATTAAAAGGAAAAGGAAGAAAAAAAAAAAAAAAAAGACATTTGAAATATGTCACCTAATAAATGTGGCCTACCTTTGCATGTTCCAACTCCTCTATTGTTGGTTTATGGACGGCAGTTTTCGACACAATTTTCTGCGCCCTCTTTAGTCTCCGCAAACAGTCGGCAGACATTTCAGGGGACGGAATCTACTCATGGTCGCAGAAAAACAGTATAAACAATGACTTTCTCATATCTTATAACATGCATGCACACACACACGCACGCACACACACACACACACATACATACGTACATACGTACATACATACATACACACACACACACCCACGCACGCACGCACGCACGCACGCACACACGCACACACACACACACACACACACATTAGTAATCCATTAGTTTGTGTAAGCGCTAAGCTAAGTAGGTAGCGATTACTGTGGAGAGTGTATCACGTGATATTTTCCACTTGTCGCTTCGCTATTGAGAGTATGCATGCACATTATCATTGTAACTCCAATAACTGGTAGTAAATATGCACAAACACACACACACACACACACACATCTAAATTTTATCAGGAGGGATTGAACGGGATATTCAACTTAAAGTAAACAAAAATTTAAATGACATACATTGTCACTGTTACATTGAGACTCTCGATGTTTACTGATGTAGCTCTCCAGAAAAGGATGAAATTTCGGTGACGGAGAGAAAAAGTATAGACATATCGCCAGCAGCTCCCATCCGCTCTTCAGACTTTCACTGAAATAAACATAACGATTTCATTTCTGGCAAATAACATTTCCGTTATATTTCAAACATATAATATGAACACATTCTTAGAAATAAGATATCTGAGAAAGGTGGTCCAAGTGACAAGATGGGACAAAGTCCGTAATCAGAAAATAAGTCAAGATTTTGACACCGAGTCCTTACAAACCCGAGTGGATCAGTCACAGTTACGATGGTTTGGACATGTATGCAGAATGGGAGAAAATCGGCCACCATGGCAGGCATGGGAGGCTAAGAACCAGGGAACTAGACTTCCAGAGCGACCCACGGTGCGCTGGGAAGACAACAGCCGACAGTCCCTAACTGACAGAGGACTGGAATGTAACAAAGCCAGAAAGAAAACTGCTGATAGAGACGTCTGGCAATCTCTCCGGCAAACCTCTACACCCCAAAGTAGAAGAGGAGTGACTAAGCAAGTAAGTCATATGAACACAAAACCATTTTTAAGTATCACATTAATAATAACAGATACTAATAAATTCGGGAGCCGCCGTGTTGTAGCGGCTAGATGCTCGTCTGCGGATCGGAAAGTCGTGGGTTCGGGTCATGACGGAGCCAGATCCCCCCCCCCGCCCCCCTCAGGTCGACCCAGCTTTGAGTGGGTACCAGGTACAAGTCCTGGAAAGTAAAAGCGGCCAACGTAAAGCTGACCACATCACCCAGGAAAAGCCGATTGGTCTATAAAATATAGTTCTAGCCGGAAGGCATGGAAAAGGGTCCTTTACCGTTCACCAGTAAATTTACTTTAGTGGATGCAATAAGTCAGCAGTACTTGTGTATCTTGACAGCAGCTGATTGAAGTTGTATACAAGAAGTCAAATGTAAAATAGCTCTCATTGTGGAGTGCCTGGAAATGAGAAAGCTGATCAACTGGCAGGGGAAGGTGCGACAAAAATTCAGCCGGATGTACCAGTCAAATACCACCAAAAGAAAAGAATCATTGAATCGATTAGGAAACCACCAGCCCCAGCA